TAGAAATATAATTGCCATTAAGTATCTATTGAAAAACCCAGTAAAAAATTTTAAGCATCATTATAAAACTTAAAATTGGTGTTGTACAAAAACATTTTTCGGGAAATTCTTTTCTTAAATTCCTACGATAATTTGATTTTTAATATCTACAATTGTTAAAAAAATAGATTAATAATAATACTGTCTTGATGAATTATTTGTTGAAAGCACAAGGTCTATATGCAATTCTGTTGAGGAATTTTCTTTCAATACTAAAAAACAAGAAACTAATTCACATTGAAAAATGATTATTTCTTTTCATCTTTCTTTTAACTCACAACCTAACTATGAAATTGACAGACCATGAGAAAAAACCCTAACCAAAAATGGCACACCCTTACCGCCTTATATTTATAAATATACTTCACGCCATAATCTATTGACCTACCTGTTACTTTGTTGTTAGCATCTGTCTGCAATGATACGCTACTATTGTCTAGGTCTTTGGCCGAGGTTACGTAAAATCCTTGCTGCCCATTGTCAGCCCATTTCCATAGGCAAGGCGTTTCAAAGTTGCAGTCGGTTTGGGGAACGCTGTTTATCATTTTCCTTAAAGTTTGCATACGGTTCTGGACGATCCGATCCTGGAGCAATCTGTACTTTTCCCCGTATTGATAATTTATGGCCGTATCATTTGGCCCCATGCGGGGATTGGCATCGGCATGCATCAAATCTTGGGCAGCTTTCTTCTTGGCTTCGTTCAATTTTTCCAAATTTATTTTATTACGAATGCCAGCTATGCCGTCCAAACTCTTCCGGTTTCCTTGTGGATTTTTGGATTCTCTTTTAAAGCGATCGTTTGCGAAAATTAAACCGTTATATTCGATTTCTTGACTTTCTATTAGTTCGCCAGCATGCAATATTATAACGAACAACACCAAACAAGTCCTTGTAACGTTCAAAGCCATATCGTTCGTGGACTCTTCTACACTATCGAATGGTTAAAGGAGAAAATGTGATTTCGGTTTAGATACTGAAAACAACATTTTAATGCTGTCTGTTTATAATTTGCAAGACGAAAAATAATATCGATTTGCCCGGGTCGCTGAACGTCAGAAGTCTTTTTCGCAATTAAAGTCTGAGGATTAGATTTCTAAATATAATTTAACGAATTGGATTGTCTCCAATCGCAAATTGATTGATATTGTTGCGGTTAAAGCGAAAACATTTTTTGTCCATTCCCTTTTTGCAAACTCTGATAGTAGACTTGATTACGAAAGCCGGGGTGGATGCGGCACAACTTCTCTTGATTTAAAAATGCCAAAATATTTCTTTCTGATCTCATCTATTCTTCAATATTTTGAATATGTTTTCGATTATGTTTCTCAAAATACCGCAATTACTACGTTTTTAACTTGGATACGACTGTAAATCGAAATGACGTCGCCTTTCAATTAATTTTTGGCAAAAAAGAAACCCACTGTGCAATTACTTTGTGTTTTTTTAAATGACTTCTTTAATAATTTAGAAAATGATTTTTGCACAACATACCGTTGGATTATCGGTTTTTCTTACACGTATTCACGCACTCACGCACTTTGCAAATTGGCCACTTTCTCAGTTTATGTTGTTATAACCGACGAGTGTACACTTCGCGTACATCGCGGCCGATGCGATTTTAATTTTAAAATTACAACTATACTAGATATCGTACGGCGTTAATGAGGAGTTGCGAGAGATGTAAAAATATCTTGGAACGGTCCGTGTATCATAGCTTTCCTCGTGCCTCGCTAAACCCGACAAGGATAAAGAGATATTTCTGGCCTGTGTTAGAGCGAGTGGAAACGTGAAAAATATCGATTTGTGCAGCAGGATAGTTCGGGAAAACGTTGACTGCATGACATTCTGAAACGGGATGAAACGTCTCCGCAGCGTGATCTAGCGGGATGCTGCGCAAACATCCGACAATGATGCTGCGGAAATTGGGGAAATTGTTTCCAGATACGACCAAGCTAGATTGCATCCATAATTTAATTTTGTCTTCAGATAAGTAAGTACTACCATAAATACCTTCTTGAAACAGAAAATGAAAAGTGAAAAATATTCTGGATTGAGGATTCAGTCTTATAAATAAATAAAATATTTCAATACACGAGGGCGGTTCAATAAGTATCTGTGTTATAAATGAAGACACCTTTTTTTTTTAAATTTTGTTTTATTTTTCAACATAATAGTCCCCTTTTAGAAAGATACACTTCTCCCAACGTCCCTGCCATTTTTTTTAACCTCTTCAAAAAATAGGATTTGTCAAACTCTCCAAAATGCCCCCTGTCTCGGAGATGACTTCCTCGTTTGAGCTAAATTTTTTCTCGCGAGTCATTTCTTCATGGTAGGAAACAAGACGAAGTCAAATCGAGTGAGTACAGGGTGTGTGGACAGCAGTTCATAACGTCATCTTAGCGAAAATAACGAAACATGTCTCAGTCGAATGGCTGCCAAATCCAAACTAACCTATCAAACAGTTTTCCTTCAGGAGCGTCCTCTGTCTTCAAACACGGGTACTTATTGAACCGCCCTCGTACTTATGTACATTTACAATCTACATACACTATAGATACAGTTTTAGTTTTCACTTTTTAACATTAACATTTGTTGTACCGATTTTATTAAAGCCTACGTGAAAGATACAAAGAGCTCAATCAACCACTATTGTTATCATATGCGAATTGAATTTAAGAACCCTTTATATTTTCTCAACCAACCACTTAAAAATTAGTCTTGATCTAGCAAAAGAATTATTTCGAAATCAAATATTATTTTATTAAATAACTACGGACATATGTATGTTTCAAGCTTCTCACTTCAATATCAATGACAATTGTAAAAAAAATTCTAAATTACAATATATTTATACAAACTTCTATAGACGGGACTTCTTGATTTTGTCAAAGCAGCAAGACCAACATGAAGACCAATGTTATACTGCAAAATTAAGATTTTATCCCCCTTTCCCCTACCCCCACCCCACCCCCATCTAACCCCCATAACTTTTTATAGGGGTGCGACCGCCACGAACTTTTTATGGTACAATGGTAGAGGAGACCCCTCTGCGGGGGTAGGGGCCATCATCTAGACATTTACCAAAGTAACTTTTACAATACACTATTTAACAAAATTGGTAATAACAACAACCGACGACATCATATGTACAATACGCGTACCGGTTTTATGAACCCACCTTGTTTGCTTTCTCTCCCATGTACTGAAGATTATCATTTCCGTGTTATTATTATTGGGTTAAAAAGCTTATGTTTAGGCATGCTGGGACCCTGTATCGTGGGGGGCCCTATATCGTGGGGGGCTCCTTTTTGGCCAGTCCGCCTCTGTCCTCTAACGAGGCCAGCGCGCTTATGTAATATTTAAGAAATATGATAAGACATTTACTTAAAAGTTGTTTATTAAATAATGACTACATAATTCGGAAAATAAACTAAACAAATTACTCATGATTACATGAGTTTGTTGAGTTTTGCTAACTAAAGAAGACTTTTTATTATTGTTAATAGATTTCTTTGAGGAAATATTTAATCGAAACCCTACAAGTCGCTTCACTAAAATTTTTACAAGAGAAAAGTCGATATTTTTCATAATTAATTTACACAATGTTGTTTCTAAATAAAGGTTGTTCTGAATATTCCTTCCATTTGGATAAAAAGTTTACATATTTCTGCATTTGCATAAAATAAGCATTTCCTTTTGAAACTTTCAAAATTACTAGTTTAGCAAATTTTTTACTTTAGGTTTTACTTCTCAATGAATTAAAAAAAAATGTCACAATGACAATTAAACATTATTTTTGATTCTGGATAAAATGTAACCTGCAATAATATACATCACCAAAATCTAATAAATATTCTCTATCTTCAAAATAATCGGATGAAGAAACGTTTCTGAAGTATTGAGAAATTGTAATCAGTTTTAAAGTTTGTTTAAACCAGAATTACTTTCACAAATCTGATCCGAGAAAATAAATTTTCTAAACAATCCTGTGAGAATTTTCCAGTTAACAACAATACAAATTTCTCCTCTGCTAAAAAAAACTTTTTGAAGTGAAACTTCTTTACGTACGGTAGGGCAAGTTCGTTTCATGCGAGTTGCTATGTAACGAAATCATGCAACGGATGTCCTCCCTCTAATCGGCCACGTAGTCAAGTTCGAAGTGGGGGGATCACTTGAGCCGTGAGCAGCGTTCCCAGACCTCCAGTTTTAGCAGGAGATCTCCTGCTTGTTTGAAAATTCTGTTCTCCTGTATTTCTTTCCAATCTCCCGCTTTTTAATTTTAACTTTCTTTTTCTTCACTTGAGGTAGTCTTTGCTATTATAGAGAGATATATAACCATATACATGTGTAACATATACTAAACACCACAGGCGATGCATGCGTATTTTATTTTAAGTTGGTAGAAATGGTCGGAAGAAAACATTTTATGAATAACATTCATTCAAACAAGAAGCTGAAGCTGAAGTTTTAAGTTTTTAATAAATAATTCATTACGGGCCAGAATGACTGGAAGTATTTATGATGATGAGTCGGGAAAAGACTGAGTATTATAAAGTATTAATTTTTATATTCATAAATATAAATATATTTATATTCGTTCTTATTAAAAAAAACTGATGTGTAATAATTAATGTGATATTGTTCTT